AGCAGTCACCGGCCACATCGACCTGATCAGTGTTTGATTGTTGTGTCTTGTTGCTTTTCTTCTTTTGTCTCTCCTCTATCCACTCACCCCAACCGGTCGAGGCAGAAGGCCGCCCACCAAGAGCCGGGGTCTGTCGGAGGTTTCTTCCGTTAAAGGGAGTTTTTCCTCCCCACTGTCGCCAAGTGCTTGCTCAAGGGGGATTTGTTGGGTTTTCCCTATGTAATAATATTGATAACAGTAAGGTCTAGACCTTACTTTGTAAAGTGTCCTGAGATGACTTTTGTTGTGATTTGGCGCTATACAAATAAAATTTGATTTGATTTGATTTGATTTGATTGTTACAGCCTTTCTTAGCCACAGAAATTCATCAGGATGTATCACAACAATTTGCACTGGAAACTTAAAAAACTTACAAAATCTCTTCATGCGGTTTAATATGCTTATTCCTGACAGCAGTTTAATGGACAAACTTATTTCAAGTTTACTGCATTTTTACACTTCCAGTTTGCAGCAGAAAATACTGCTGCATATTTATTTGTATTGCCACCTTCTCAGTGCTCACTCTCCTCTGTCAAGTATCCATCTCCCTCTGTCTGATGATAGGTACCCAGCATCTGGGATAATAACTGGTGAGACTTGTGGTTTTTGTGCACTCAGCCACTTACTGCACTAACCTCTTTAACTGACCGGACAATGACGACAATACTAATGACGTAATTACCGTTAATAATTCAGGATATGCTGTCTCACTATGCAAATGCTGGAAATGGACTGTGTCTGTTGTCACATCAAAGTCTGTGTCTGCGATGAAAATAGAAAAATACTCAGACATTTTACTCATCAGTCCATAGAAACATTAGACTGATCCAGAGAGGATTTTCTGAGTACTTCTGCTCTTTTTCAGTAACAGCCTGCTTCACACTGAAACACAAATGTGTTTCCACACTTGGTAGCTGCACAGCGCACCAACAACTGACATAGTGGTGGTGACAGAGCAACTAAACCAGAGCTGGAAGGGCTTCAGTGCTCTGATTTCAGCCTTGTTTAATGTGATGGAAGAGTAGCCTGCAAACCAGCCAGCAGATTTTCCTCACCAGTCTGAGGCTTTAACCCTGACTGGACATTATCTTTTGGGATTATTGCAACTCATGCAGATTGCATGTCCTGAAAACATTTGTATTCAGTTCCTCTCTCTTCAACATAATACAGATTCATGGACTACAGATGACAAGTTCCTCTATCAGAACACTGAGCTCACATCTGCTAAATCTGAACGAAGCAAAGAGCCAAATGATCTCTGAACAAAAACTGTTGAGGAGGTGATTCACAATAATAAAAATCCAAGCAAAACATGTGATATTGAAGGAATGTTTTTCTAACTGCAACCATATGGTGACTTTAAAGGGTCCTATTCAAAATAAATACTTTGTTTATGAGCCTAAAGGGAAGGTTAATGACTTCAGAGATTAGATACTAGACAAAGGGTCAGAAGTCAAAATGCATTTTTTGCATGATTAATTCTCTGCAACTTCAGAGAACCAAATTTGCTGAAAAGGCAAAAAAATAATTTTGGTACACAGTCAATTACGAATAATGCATATAAACCTTTTCAGACATGGGACGACTTTCTGTCATTTAGACATAGGCCACTTTTTAGATAAACTGTTCCACAGTTTTGGGGCCATTACAGCAAAAGCACGATCACGCCAGCACTTGTTCTGTATCTAGTCCTTGGTATGTCTAAAAGAAACTGATTAGAGGGATCTAAATGGTTTGTGCCACTGCAGGAGTTCACTGAGGTAAGAAGTGGCCAATCCATTAAGTCCCTTAAAAACAAATAACAGTGACTTAAAATCAATCCTGAAATGGATTGGAAGCCAGTGAAGAGCAGCCGAAACAGGGGTGATGTGGTCATACTTAGGAGTATTTGTCGGTAGATGAGCAGCCACGTTTTGAAACAGCTGGAGACGTGAAAGGGAAGAGTACAGTGCATTGCAGTAGTCGAGTCTAGAGGTGATAAAGCATGGATTGCCATTTCAAAATCAGTGAAAGAAAGAAACAACTTGATTTTCAAGTTCTTATTTTAAGTCCATTAAAAACACATCTGATGCCCCTCCTATAATTGGCTTGGCTACCTGGTGCAGGAGCTAACAGGCAGAGTAGGGAAGGACATCAGGAAATGGCTTAAGTGGCTTCATCCCTTTCTCCTCGTCCTCCAACAGTAAGTCAGTTTTGTGTCCTGCTGGCACCCATCACACACACTGCATTCATTGCTGACCTACATAAAAAATACTTAACTTTTTGTGTACAATAAATGTTTTTATAAACTAGCAATGTGTTGTGTGATTCCTATTTTATCATTGATACTGGGCCAGTTTGTGACAGACTAGACCTACAACAGTCCCTCTATCTACAGCATGTGGGACATGAAGAGATGTCCCTGCATCCATCTATCCATTAGCAGCTGCTTAGCCAAAGTTGAGTAGCAGGGGCAGCAGGTTTAGTAAACACCCCTCTCACCAGCAGCATTCCCCAGAGCCTGAGGTGTTCCCTGGCTAAATGTGTATGCAGTATAATCCCTACCCTGAGGCCTCCTACCAGTTGGATGTGCCAGATAACCTCCAACAGAGGGCACCCAGGAGACATCCTAATCAGATTCCTGAACCACCTTGTCTGGCTCACTTTAAATGTAAATTTTCAATACTGAGTTCTCAGAACATGGCCAAACAAAATGCTCAATACCATCAGTGACAAAAGAAGGTTGTGGTTGTATATATAATTTAGATGAGTGGATCTTTTAATTTAACTTGTGCAAACATACTGTGATATCATATGGCATATTACTGTACATAAAGACTATTATTCTGTATGTCAACATGTGCTAAAACACACAAGCAATGTGCCCAGGAACGACATAACACAATACACTGTTCCTGCCTGTATCAGATGTCATACAGCATATCAAATAACATACAGGGGATAATATGCGTCTTATTTGTTTTCATGTTGGGTGTTTGTCCTAAACATGGTCTGGGTGAGCTAAACAGTGAGAGTGGTCACATATATTAATTTGGCAATAACAAGATGCTCAGCCACGAAGGTGGACGAGGCAGAGGGAGGACAACTGTGTTTCCCAGAAGAGAGAGAGCCCCCAGCTGCGAAGAGGAGCTTTGTTAATCTCTTGCCATCTCGAGAGTGTGTTCTTGCTCAGAGCTCATTTATTTTCCCCTTGTGTTTTTTGCTCACAATGCTTCAATCTTTCCCCCTGCATTTGATGAGTAAAGGACACGGTGCCCTCTGCCTCCACTTTCCTCTGTGGAAACTGATGACTGATTACACATTACAGCTTCTCCTCCCTTCTTCTCTTTGGATAAATTACTAGTACAGCATGCCCTGACCAGGTCTTATCATGCTTTGGCTGCTTTCCATCTTAGAAAGGTGAAGTGTGTACTTTTTATATAGCTTTCCAGCACACTGTATTTCTTTAATCAACAGCCTGTGAATTCCCAAATAGTCATATTAAGATGGATTCATTTCCTCTTGTTACAAACTCTCTCACATCAGTTTGAGCACTGGTACTGGGGTGTCCTGTGTTGGACCCGAATGTCCTAAGGCCTCATTTATAAAGTGATGTTCAATTTCAAACAAATATGTCAGGAAATAAGAGGTTCCAGACTATTTTTAATACTTTGTTTGGTGACAGAAATGGTTTTAGTTTCTCTTTAAAAACAAAAATCCCTAATAAACTTTATTTGGCTCATGTAAATAGGTAATAAATGAAATGTTTTGCCAGGTTGGTGTGGCTCAGTATGTAGAAGAAACTGTAAGTAATGGCTGCGTGATATTGTGTGTACAGTACAGTATAGCTGTGTGCCAGGAAGCCAGTGGAACAGTGAGGGTATGGTGTTGTCATTAATGCTTAATGGCAAGCTGAAATGCCAATCACTGTGTTTGTAGCAGCCTTGGCGCTAGTGTGCAATTAGTACGCCGCATCTGATATGGTTACAAGACACTGCTGACAACTGTCTCGATCACTAAATACAGGAGGAAGGATCACAAAGGAGATGGTTGATAAGGACAGCTTTTAAAGAAATGAAAAGAAGATGTCAAACTGAGACTTTGGTACATACAAAAAACTATCTTCTACTTACAAGTTAAATTTTTAATTCAGAAGCAATAAAATGCACCTTTCCTTAAAAAAAAAACTACAGTTGTATACATCAATCACAATCAAACCTCAATGTCAGATATAATAATAACACACTCACTGGTGCCATTTTTCTGTATTAGCAGAAGCTGCATTAAGCATATTTTGCTAATAATGTTTGCTTACTTTTACTTAACTTACACTTCCAGTGCAGGACGTCTGCCTGTGATGGTTCATTTATACTCTACTGCACTGTTGCTCATTTACTTGTGTAAAACCCTGATAAGTAAACATCTGAACATTTCCTCCACTATTGTATATTCTTAGTAGTAGCACTTGATTTTCAGAGACACCTGTTGTACTTAGTACTGAGTTTAGAGTAATCTTATGATATTTTATTGTATTTACCTTACCTGTGATAACAGTATTGTATTGTGTGTCTGGTTTTGTAAGATTGAATTTAAGGAGTCCTGCTCTTGCTTGTGGTAACTCCTACAATATTGTCTCTAGGATTTATATATTTGCTGGGATGTTAGCCTCATTCTAAAGTCTAATACTGGCCAACGGTTCATAAATGTTTACGGGCACATTTCCAACAGAACCCGTCCTACTGTAAAACCTGTTATAAATTCTTTATTTATCGGAGTATAATAAAAGTCAAAGTTCCCGGAGATGATCTAAGTGCTGCTCTCTTACCTATGGTCGTGATCACAGTGATGGCAAAGTAAAACGAGCCTGTTTCCACTGCCCCCCGGCTTTGTGCGGCTTCAGCCGCAGCACCACGTCCTCCAGCTTTCCGAAGTCCTCCGTGGACAAGTTGAGCGCGCTGAGCAGCTGCGTTTTGTTCAAGTCCAGTTTCCTCCATTCGTCCATCTCCTTGTCTGATTCTAGCGCGTCGAAGATCGCTGCCCCCACTATCAGGTAGGTGAAGGTGCAGATGATGAGGGCGAGGGTCCTCACGTTTTGCCTTTTCATGGTGGCGCGGCGTGTGTCAGGGAGACAGGCGGAGTGTGAGCGCTGGTCTGGAAGACGGGGAGCTCGGCTGGCTCATGGCTGTGCTGCTCTGACGGCGCAGAGGAGCTCTGATTACTTTATGAGCAGAGGAGCTGTTCATTCAGCACCCCCC